CGGGCCGTTGCGGTACATTACGTTACTCACACGGTTTTGAGTAACGTATTGCTTAAAATCAAAAGAAAAACGGCCAGGACGATAACGCAACAGGAATTTCACATATGTATATTTCAGCGCAACGATACAATTCTAGGACGGTCGGAAACAAGTAAAAAACGCAACGGATTTTGGGTGGAAAAAGCAATAACGCAACGGTTTTTTTGAAAAAACAGCACAAAAAGAATGAAAAAAAAGACAATATCTTTGTTCAACAACAAACAAGTTTTTTTGTTAGATTTCATTATAATGTTTTTATTTATGAAAGGAAGAAAAGAAAGTTGAAAAGAAAAGGAAAATATTTTAAAATTTATTATCAATTTGAAGGAAGCGAAGGCTAAGTAGGAGCCTTCTCTTTGCCTTTAGATCGCTTCTTCACAGACTCCTCCCAAGCTTGAATGACCAAGCCCACGTCTTCGTAATCGTCAGTGATTGCCACCCCCTCACGTAGCCACAATCGACTACCCACGCACATCTCAATGGTGCGAGGCTTCAAACGTCCTCGCACGGCAGTCGCCACATCGGCTGCAGCCGAGAAAGTTCGCTCAGCAGCAGCTGAGGACCCTGGAACCGATAGGTAATCCCGGGCTAATGAAGCCAGGATGGGATACTTGTGTTGATGTTCCTGGATATGAGCAAACTGCATCAGTGATCAGTGAAACACATATGAAGTAAATAAATACATACCTTCCACCATTGGAGAACAGGCTTAGGACTGTTCTCCATACCAGGTGAAACCAAGGGGTCCTCACCCTTCAGATACCGCTCCAGCTCATTAGCTACCGAGGAATGTGTTTCAGGTTGATAAAGTCGATATACATCGGGCACAGTAGTATCCGGTGCTTCGCTTGGAGGACTTTGCGGTGAATCGGAGCGAATATTGAGTGCGGACTTGCGTTTGGAAAACTCAGTGTGAAGGTAATCGGTGGCATGGTTGGTTCGATCATGATTCGGTCCAAGGGCATGTTCGAAAAATCGTAAGCGAAGGGCAGGGTGACAAATTGCCGCCATGAGAAGGGTGTCACAGCCCAGGGCCTCCTTGTAGTAGACCTTTGTTCGTTCAATACATGGTTGAAAAAACGGTTGCATGCGATCATCAGGTGGAATCGCAGCAGATCGAGCTGTCAAAGAGCTAAGGAGAGTTTGATATTCAGCAAGGACCATACACCCAGTGGGTGCATTGGCCTCCATTCGCTTGGTCAAAGTCTTGAACGGCTAATGGACGCAGTGATGTTAGTACATCATGTAATGAAGTAGCCAGATGTTGTGAGATAGGGACTTACTCGCAGCTCATCGAGTAAATCTCTAACATCTCTCCAGTCAGAAAGCGAGAAGAAAGTTTCTTGAAAATACCCAGAGGGTTTTTTGGAAGTTCGTTTATAATTTCTCGACTTCTTCATTTGAGACTTTGAGGCATCTTCTTTAAGCATCTCATCGATAACCTGCTTGACAAGTTGGGATATCAGTTGCAGTGCCAAATTGGATAATCAAGTCTAGACTTACGTCGCGATTTTCATATGCTCTCTCCCATCTGTCGAGACAGATATTCCAACGAATCCCATGGCCAGCAATCAACGAGCGGCCTGGACCTTCGCCATCGGGTCGCCTTCTCCTTGGGTCCATTCGACGCGCGTTAAAATCCTCGCGCCAAGCAGAAGATCGTGTGATCTTCTTCACAACAAAGTCAAGCTGATATTTAATATGGAAATGTCAGTGTGAATCTAAGACAAAATCATTCGATTGGGGATGAGATACATACGTCTTGAGTCAATACTTTCAGGCCATTCAATTTAGTTCTGGTCGGCTTAGGGATGATGTCGATGGCCTCCATATCCCAGTGGTCGTCCTCGGCTTCATCCCCTGCTTTTTCATCTTCTGAATCACTTAACTCATCTGGGTGATGTTCAACATCATCCTCTTCATCGGAGGCGGAGGATCCTACAAGTATGGCCGGGTCAATTTCGTCTTCTTCATCTCCAGCTTCATGAATAGTCGGTAAGTCCTCAGGTGACGGGAAAAATCCAAGGACCGTGTGGCGCTGATGATTCGTTGGAAGGCCCAGGGCTGCGATTCCGGCGTTAACGATGAGACCGATCTTGTGACACATGCATTTGACATGCATGGTCTCAGGATCCCAAGAGTAGTCGGATGAAAAGTTGTCATGTTCCTGTAGTTGTTGATGCATCTCAGCTGCCAAAGTCACGTTGTTTGACGCTGAGTCAGTTGTATGAGCTAGCATGTATTAACACGAACAGCATGTCAGCAACTTCCTTTTCATAAGTAATTTACCAATATGTAAACAACTTATCTTTTGGTAAATATTGTGTTTCTTCAGTACCGTCACCAGGGGCTCTGCAAGCCACACTCCCTTATGGTGATGAGCAACTCGCTTGAGCGTAAGGTGCCGAGAAGTGTAGTTCCAGTCTTTGT